GAAAGACTGAAAAACTCAGTGTTTAGTATTTCCAGAGGGTTCTTGCGAAGGATCCAGTGTGTAGGACACACCCTGCTGGTTCTGTTCCATCCACAGCTGTGTCATCTTCAGTAGGAACGGATCTTGGTGCATTGTTTGGGCGTGAACACCAATTTTGGGAGATACTGCTTCTCCGGATCAGGTATATTCCTCATTTTTACTTTTTGGTTCAGATCTGGTTCGATTATGGTTCAAGTAAGATCCTTGAATATGGTATTTTAAATTTAGGGAACCATTCTTTTACATTTCCACCCTCTCTATGAGCGGCCTCCACGTGCTTGCTGAACCATATTTGGCCCCAACTGGGAGGTCTAAATAGGAAAAGGGAAGCTCCCCTATTTGGCACTCTAAACCTGCCACAAACATTGACATCTCTTCCTGGCTAATCTCTCCAACTATAATCAGAACACTCTTCTCTAAATTCACTTTCATACCTGTTAGCAACTAAAAATTGGATAGTACTACTCTTAAATTCAACACTTATCCACCTATGCATCTAAAAAGATGAGGGTATCATCTGCAAATTGTAAATGTGAAATGCATAGCCCCTTTGACCCTATACTAAATCCCTCTAACCAACCTTGCTGAACTCCCCTCTTTAACAAGAGATTTATAGCTTCCATAATGTATACAAACAATAAGGGAGACAAAGGGTCCCCTTGTCTCAGCCCCCTTGAAGCTTGAAAGAACTCTGAAGAAACCCCATTAAGGATCACTGGAAAGGAAACATATGAGATACACCATACATCCAGCCCCTCCATTTTTCTAAAAATCCCATCAACCTACGAACTTCTTCCAAGAATCCCCACTCCACATGATCATATGCTTTCTCTATGTCTAATTTACACACCAATCCTGGCCTCCCTCTTCTCAATCTTGAGTATATACATTCACTTGCCACCATCACCCCATCCAGAATTTGTCTTCCCTTCACAAAGGTCATTTGAGTTTCACCCACTACATGAAGCACTTTCCTTAGCCTATTTGATAAGACTTTGGCTAAGAGCTTATAGGGACTGCATATCAAGCTTATTGGCCTAAAATCCTTTATGTTCACAACCCCCATCTTTTGTATTAGTGAAATAAAAGTTGCATTCTCTCTCCTTTCCACCATTTTATTTTCACAGATTCCTTGATCATCTACATAAAACCATCCTCCAAGAAATGCCAACAATGCTTTATAAATTTAAAGTTAAACCCATCAGGTCCTGGAGCTTTGTCTCCATTTATCCTCTTCAAAGCCTCTTCAACTTCTTCTACTTCAATCTCCCTCTCTAGTCAACCATCCGCTCTCTCACTCATTTTTTTTTTTTTTGTTTTAACATCCCCCAAAGAGATCCAGCACCATTTCCTCCCTGAATAGAGCTTCCTGTAAAAGTCCACTACTAACCTTTGAATATTTTCCCAATTCTCAGCCACTTCCTCCCCTATTTGTACCCTTGTAATCAGGTTTCTTCTTCTCCCACTTGCAAATGTGTGGAAGAAAGTTGTATTGTCTCCCTCTTTTAGCCATAATGCCCTTGATTTCTGCCTCCGTTTCACCTCTTCTCTCAAAAGTAACCTCTCTAATAAACAAACCAACTAGGAAACCTGCTGCTTGTATATGTAAATATGTATGTGTGAGAGAGATGTTTTGTAGGTATTCTATTTTATTATTATTTTTTGTTATTGAAAACAATAACAACCTCAACAACAAAATTTATTGACATTTTTCATTGTGAAAAATATCTTGTAGTCAAGATCTTCCTTGATAGGGTTCAGAACCATTTTTTTCTGTTTTAAAAATGGTTGCATTCAATCCAATATAAAACAAGAACACTCTTTTAACTAATTGAGGGAAGACACCTTTCACTTCACTTGAAAGAAGTTAATTTACTTGAGAAAATCTATTCTCAGTTATAGGCTAAGCAAACATGAAAAAAAATGTTGTGCTTTACAAACCAATAGGGTGACTGCAACTAATGATTTGTTCTCGGTGTAATTTTATACTTTAATGTTCAATGCCATAAATCAATTAGAAGAACACTCTGCTTCTTGCTAGCCAAAAAAGAGAACACTTTGCTTCTAGCAACAAGGCCTGCTGTTATAGGTTTTTAACTTTCTTCCTGTTCTGGGTGTTTTGTGCAGGTTCCAATGTAGATGACTCTGTACTTCCTAGAATAACTTTTGAACAGGGGAAGCGAAGCACTTCCTTTTCTGATTTGGGCCCATTGAAAGATAGTGAACGTAGAGATCTTAACTGTGCTGTAAAGGAATATCTGCTTTTAGCAGGATATCGACTTACTGCAATGACATTCTATGAAGAGGTTCACTATTCTTTCTCTCTCTCTCTCTCTCTCTTATTTTTATCTTTTTCCTCCTTTGGGAGTTGGGAAGTTTGTGATTATGGTACTTAAGAAGGGATTAATGCTCTTGACATTGACAGTAATTGTTCCAAGTATTTGTGAATGATGACCTCCAAAAATTCAGATATATGGACTTATTTGTATTACATTTTTATGTGGTGTTAATTATACTGATCTTTCCCCAGGTCCTGAACAATTGTAGAAACCTCCCTCAGGGTTCTATATAACTTGTTACCCTTTAGGTTTTAAGATCAATAATACTTATTTTTTATGAGTAAGGTAATTCAAAGAAAAAAAGGGGAGAGGGGATGTACATGAATGAATGTACAAACTAGAGGCAAAAAGACCAAAAAAACCCTGATTTTACATTGGAAGGGAATTACCACTATACAAAAAAGCTCTGTCCATCCTAGATTTAGCTAAAGCATCACACCTTGAGCTTAAATCTCTAGGAATCCATTTGAAAGAGAAAAACAAAGAGGCTGCAATATCCGAGATCTCATACAGAAAGTGAGACTAAAAGCCCTGAACACACTTCCATCAGCCTTAAGAATTAACCCCCCCCCCCTCTTTCAGCTAGTGTTATGTATCTTCATTCTTCTTAATACATGACATCTCTTCTTTCATATAAAAGAAAAAAGAAAAAAAGATTAGATCCCCCTTCCTCTTCTTCTTCCTTCTCATTCCCTTCCTCTTTAGAAGACTTACGCCTCCTACATTCTATAATTACACCTCATGCCTCTAGGTAGTGGAACACCTGGTATTATGCCTCTAGGTAGTGGAACACCTGGTGTTATGCCTCTGCATTTTAAAACATTGATGGAAACATGGGCGAAACATATAGCTGGTCTAGTTTTTCCCTTTGAAAGTTAACCCCTTGTATGGATGTCCTCAATCTGCTCCCAAATGAAGGAGACACTTAAGCTACGTTTGGTTTGAAGGAAAAAGTAGGGAAAGGTAAGGAAACCTTTACAAACTTTGTATATGTTTCCCTACCATTCCCTTCCTTTCCCTACCTTTTCCTTCAAACCAAACATAGCCTTAAGGGCACTGAAGAAAGTCAAAATTGTCTAAATAGAAATAGGTCAAGGAGTTGGCATTAAGATGATGAAAAGATGATTTAGTAGTGAAGCTACCTTGGGGGAGTAAGGGACCAGATGCATTTATCAGTGATAGAGGGAGCGAGTAAAACTCCATTGAGGGAAAAAAGAAGGGAGGAGGCCTCTAAACAATCTTTATCAATAAGAGCTCTACAGAAGTTGAAATTCACTGTTAGACCCTGATTCCTAATTCGCTCTAGGTAAAACTGAAGAGATAGGGATACCCTCATTGAAGGCGAGACAAAGGAGACTAGGATAGATTATGCAAAGAGGCTGGGAGCCCCACCAAATGTCAGTCTATAATTTGATATGATTACCATTTCCGGAAAAAAAAATCTCAAAAATGGGGAGAACAGGGGGGAAGTGAACTATTCCTTTCTAGTGGTTAGCTGAAGAAAATTGTCTCAAATTCAGGTTACTGTCCTAACTGTTACTATTTCTTATTGCTTCTGGTAATGGAGGGACCTTGATTCCATACTTATTCCCTTATTGTTAAATCAACTGATAATAGATGTGATTGAAAAGACACTTTGTTTGACTGTCCACCTCTCCCAACCATATCTTGGATTGTTTGCCAAGATTCTCTTGTTTCATAAAACAAATATCATTACATATACTTCTTGGATTGAAACCAAGAAACAAAAAATAAAGGAAGAATTTATTATTTGTTTAGTATGCAGTTATGCACATACCTTTTCTATTGTTGTGTGGAAGAAATCATTTAACAAGTCTGAAACTAGTAACCACGGATGGGTAGCTGATTCTGGCCCGTTGTTAGGTGCATAAGCAGATTTTTGTACATCATTCTTGTATTTATTTGAACATTAATAAATTTTATAATTACTGATGAAAAAATGAGAAAAAATAGGCTTAGATGGTTTGGCCATATGCATAGAAGACCATCAACAGCACCCCTAAAGAAGTGATTGTTGCAAGTTGAAGGGGCTAGAAGGGCTAAGGGTAGACCAAAGAGGACATTTATATGTAGTAAGAAATGCTTTAAGCACCAATAATTTAACATTGAATATGGCATTAAACAGAATGGAATGGTGAAGCAGGATTAATGTACTTAGCCCCATATAGTTGGGCTACGACTTGGTTGATGTGGATGATGTTGATAACTGATGCAAAAAATTCGTGTGACAAGGTTATTTACACTAAACCATTTATGGAGATATGGAAAGTCCTTTTCTAAACATCAAAATGTTTCAGGACACTGTTTTTTTCTTGGCGAGTTCATCACATAAAAATTGATTATTGGAGGTTTTGTGGACAAAGTAGATGTTTCAATTGAAGGAGGAAAGAGATGCTAAATCAAAGGAAGAAGGATATTTAATGGCAGTGGGCCATGAGGAAAGATGTGATTGAAGGAATTAAAAAGTAAAGGATGATTTTGTATGTTGAAAGATATAAAATGCCATTACCAATGCTGGTTCCATCTATCTGGGGTGTTGGGCTGGTTGGACTGGATATGGAACTAACCTCCAGCATTTTGAAACCAAGTGACCACACTCAGACATGAACTTGCGTTTTAAGGCATGTCAGGCTGAGGTTTTTCTATTTCTTATCTTTGTACCAAGCAATAACCCCTTGTTGAAGATGTAGAAAGATCAAAATAATCAATTAAAAGCGTCTCTGAGGAAATCTTTCCCTCAGAAGCCCTCTCTCTCTCTCTCTCTCTCTTTCTCATAAAATTATCACCATTCCTCAAAAAATTAGAACATTTTTGATATTTTTAATACTAAACTACTTGGGGATATTAATATCTTTTCTATACCAGTTAGCGGAAATCCTGACAATGTCCTGGTTGAGGAGGCCTGGCATGTAACTTAAGAAATCCCCAGGTAAGGTCTGTTTAATTGTTAGAAGACTTAAGGGAAGTGAGTGAAAAACCATTAATCAGCAAAGCTAGGAAACTGGGAGAAAATGAAGGATTGGAAATAAATCTGTTTTTCTTTCCATTTAATATTTCTTGTTTTACCAGTATTGAACCAATTTGCATCAAATCGTATGATAGGTAGATTTTGTATCAACTACAGTAACCAATGTGGTGATGAGTACTGTTTGATGATACTGTTGTGTTACAGTTCATCAAATGTGATATATGTAGCTCATTAAAGACAATAATAGGGGAAAAATTCTCATTATGTAGAAATAGATGTTTTCTTTTTGTATTTTCCAATTGCATTCATCTATATTGAATGTTTCTGTTGATCAGTTTTCCCTTTTTTTTTGATAAATATCAGTTTTCCCTTTTTATCTTGAAACATTACAATATTAATACCTTGTTGACCATACTGCAGGTTACAGACCAAGACCTTGATGTTTGGAATACACCTGCTTGTGTACCGGATGCTTTACGCCATTATTATTATCAGTACCTTTCATCCACTGCAGAGGCTGCTGAGGTATTTCTAAGCTTTTTTTTTTTTTTTGAAAAAGATGGTAACTTTATTCAAAAGGAAGGAGGTACATGAGTAGATGTACACAGAAAACTACTAACTCAGTTATATAGGGAGAAAACTATCACTAAACAAGAAATCCCTGTGAGCGCCAGCCTTTGCAAGACCATCAACAACAAAGCTTAGCTCCCTAGGGACCCAAACCTAACCGTGCATTCAAGTTAGAGAGGATGTCTCTAGCTTCAGCCAAGAAATGATCTAAAGCCCAGGGATCACCGTCACGATCAGCTAACCACTTGATAGTATATGCAAAATCTCCTTTTATGAATATTTTCAAGTACCCCAAATCTCTTGCATTCTTGATTCTAGTTAAGGCTGCCATGACATCAGCCTTTGTAGAGGAGGCTATCCCAATCGGTCCACTGAAAGTCCAACTGATTGTATCATCTCTTCTAAAAATTCCACCAATTCCTGCTATACCAGGATTTCCGATGACACTTCCATCAAAATACAGGATTTTCTCCCCTTCCTCTACAGATCTATTGATTTGGGGGGGTGGGGTGAAAGACATGTGTTTAGAGAATAGGAAGTTTACAGCATTCCTTTGAAGATCAGAGATGGAGACTCCTTTGAAATACTCTGAATTGGAGGTCCAAAGGAAGAATCTATAAGAAAGGGTAGACACGATCTCCTAGTGGTTTCTTATTTTGTTGTTGAAAATACAATCATTTCTCTCTTCCAAAATACTCCAAAGGATAGCATGAGCTACTAAATGCCACAATGTCTTCCCTCTTTTGCTTAAACCTCTTCCTGTCCATTGTCTGAGACAATTTATCATATGTTTTGGGAAGATCCAACTGTATTTGAATAGAGTGTGGAAGAAACTCTAAAATTTCCCGGTTTCCTCACAATGTAGCAGTATGTGATTGGCTGATTCTCCATCTTTTAAGAAGAAGCAACAAACGTGTGGGGATAAATAAAATCTTCCATGGTTCTTTTTGGATGAAGGTCATAAGTATTGATCCTCTTTAGAGTAGCTTTCCACACAGAAAAAGCAAACTCTGGAAGGAAAATGGGGGCACCAAATTCTCTTGAAGGGGAACTGATCTGTTATCTTTTCTTCCTCGGTTAGAGCCCTGGAGCAAGACTTGGTTGAAAACTTACCAGATGGGTGGAGGGTCCAGGCTAGAATGTCAGGGGTATTTGGTGATGGGTTTGCTTCTTTGAGGGTGTGCATAAAACTAGTAACTTCATCGAGTTCATTGTCTCTCAAAGGTTTTCTAAGGTTTAGGTCCTGTTGAACTGAGAATGGGATGAGGACAAAATGTGGGATATGTGAGCTTCTTGGTTAAGGGTAAGGCTGAAGAGGCGAGGAAAGGAAGTGGCCAAGGTAGAGTTGCCCCACCAAACATCAGTCTAGAATTTAATTTTATCCCCATTTCCCACTTTGTACCTGACATGAGAAATGAAAAAATGGTAGGTTGAGATGATACCTTTCCAAGGGTTGGAATCCTTGACCCAGTTCAAGTACAAACTGCTATCCCAACCGTTGGCATGCTTCTGATACTTGCTACTGATAATCTCAGTCCAAAGAGCATTTGGTTCTTGAGGGAATCTCCACAACCATTTGCTGAGAAGAGCTGTATTTCTAAGCATCTGTTGAATTTGCAGGTTGCTTCTCAAAAATTATTAAATTACTTGTTGTTTCCAGTGAGTGAGAGATTGCAGATGATAAGATAAACCGCTTTTAATTTTTATTTTCTTCAGTGATATTTTACATATCTCTTATGAGGCATTATTTAGGCTATTAGAAGTTAGGTTTCTATCTGAAAGTTGCTAATATTCATGATGACCATTGGCCATATTGGTAATAGATTATTGCAATTTCAAATAAAGCTGGTGTTTTCACCTTTCAATGTGTTCCTGACATATTTAATATGTTTATGAGGGCATTTGGCAAGTCTCCCCGTGGGGTCTTTTGGGCTTTCCAAAGCTCGGAAGACCAAAATTTGGTCTTTTTTTGTTTGTCAATTAAAGGACAGAAAGACTGAAAGAAAAGCACATGGAAAGACTGAAATAGCCAAAAATCGGGAAGCTTCAAATGAAGCTTTTGGTCTTTCTGTGCTTCAAATAGGCCTCCCAGTCCATTTCTAACAGCCCGATAGACCAAGATACTTGTTGGATTGAAGTCTTTGTATGTATGAGTATTCGGCTGATAAGAGTTCTTATTAGCCTATACTTAAGTTTAAGTTGTCCTGTACTGGGCCTATGTTA